AGCATTGTTCTTCCCACAGACAGTCAAACAGATCAGTTAAAAAAAGGAACCTTACAGATGTTTTATTTATTACTATCATAGATAAATATATTCCATTATCCTATTTGTGGTATTGTATCGTAAGTATTGGGTACCGTAATATTTTGGCAGGTATAGTATCGTCATAGTCATAATGTTGGTATTGTGACAACCCTAACTGCTCATTTCATTTTCACCTTGACCTAAAAGATGTTTACTGAACATGCTCACCTGGATAGGCATAAGAGCTGGCTAGTAATTTCAATGTTTTTTAAATTTATTTATTCATTTTATAGGCCTATTTATTTGACCTTTATTAAGTGCTGCACACAATTATTATTAATATCAACAGGCCTACCTATAATTTATAATTTTTCACTCACCTTTGCCAGTGTCAATCACCTCAACTAGGCAGATGATCTTACCTTGACAGCTTTGATGTTATTTTTATTTGAAAATAAATAAATGGAATATCTGTGATATTTCAAATTAAAACAAAGTGTGAAGACTCAATTACTACTTTTGCAAACCACTAGTAAAGATAAACAAATATGTGCCAGGAATCAAGTGTTGATATAGTAGTGTGGATATAGTAGTGGGGATGGTTGTGCCAGGCTAGTAATCTCTACTACACAATGACGCCTGCTGGTGGTCATTTTGATCTGGCTCATACAATTCTATGTTATATAGCTGATCCAGCCCCGGCCCCCCATCACAATCAGGAACGATAATGTAAAAAAAGTTTGGTGACCCCTGCAATAGGGCTTCAGTTGCTGGGGCAGCTCTTCTTGCCGTGGCCACACTCTCTTGCACTGTGACATCAGCTGGCTGCAGATGGAATCCTGCTGTTCGTGCTCAGCTATCTGTTGAAGTTTACACTGGGACGCATGTTTTCATGTATCATATTGATAAATATCTGCACTTCCCCTTCTAGCTGTGCCTCTTCTTTGTTCAGTGGGCATCTCACAGGAGCCCTGGAGAGTCCATCCGCTCTAATGAGTGCCTTCCCTGGCACGTAGGTTATCTTGTATGTGAACCTCAGCAGTCTGAGGCGGAACCGCTGCACCCTGGGAGGTAAATCATCCAATGCTTTTGTCATCAACAGAGCCAGTAGTGGTTTATGGTCTGTCTCTATTGTGAATGATAGGCCTATAAGGTATGTGCTCAACTTTTCACATGCCCAGGTGACGGCTAACACCTCCCTTTCAACCTGGGCGTAACGTTGCTCTGTTTCAGAGAGGCTTCGAGAGATTTATGTGATTGGATGCCACTCCATGTTATCCTGTCTCTGCAAAAGGACAGCACCCAGGCCAAAGGATGATGCGTCTGCAGACATTTTTGTTTTGGCTTGTGGTCTGTACTGAGCCAATACTCTCTGTGATGCCAGCTCCTTTTTGAGGTTTTCAAATGATGTTTTTTGCATGTGGCCCCAAGACCACTCATTGCTCTTTGATAGCAAGTCTATGAGCGGTTTGGTGGTGTCTGCAAAGTTAGGGATAAACTTTGCAATATATGTGACCATTCCCAAGAAACGCCTAACATTTGCTGCATTCTGGTGCTGGTAAGCCCAGCAGTGGCCTGGCTAGGTTTTCAATGACAAACACAGACTGAGTGGTCTTTTTATCTTTACTTTCTAGCTTACTCTGCATCTGTCCTACTACAGGCAGTACCTTGTTATTTGGGCCATACAGTCTTTTTGAGGTGTGAAGTAGAGGACTATCTCTTTTGCACTTATATAATTTAGTGGGTATCGCAGTCACTGCTGCTCCTGTGTCTAGTTTAAAAGAAACAACTTCTCCATTCATTTTGATGTCTCAGTACCAATCAGCACTGTGCAGGGCGGTCTGTGGGTGAGCTGGGAGCACGGTCGTCCTCCAATCAGAAAAGCGCTATACAAGTACAGTCCATTTACCACTGTCTGCCTGGTTTCCCGCGCAGCACCACTTGCTGCTGCTTAACAGCTTCACTCTGTCTTACTAAGTTCGTACCTGTAGACAGAGTCAAGTTTGAATCCAACTGAAGCTTTTCGGAAAGTTTGATGTCACTTATGCCCACGACTATACGTATCAGTTCCTCTCTGAGGGCTCCAAACTTGCAATATTCCGCCAACTTGTGCACTGCAGTAATAAAGCACTCCGCCGTTTCCCCCGGCTCTTGTTTCCGCATGTTAAACCTGGCCCTCTCGAAAATTACATTGTGTTCTCCAACAAAATGTGTATTGAAACGGTCTTTTACTTTCTCGTAGACTAACTTGTCCCTTTCTTCTATCGCTGACGCATGTCAAATATCCTCTGCCTCATCTCCCATGGAATATATATCAATGTGTTCACCTGGAATGCCTCACCCTTCTTATCCAATCCAGACACCGTTCTGTACCTTTCGAATCGCTGAATCCATTTGGGCCAATTCTGGACGTCTCTGCAGTCAAACCTCTCTAGAGGGCTAATCCGAAACGCTCCTCCAGTGTGAGCTGTAGAAGAAAGTCCCGCGCATTCTCCGTCTCCTTCGGACATCTATACATCCTTGTCGAAGGCTGAGTTAGTCTTAACAATAAACACTGACACCATGTGGTAATTGGCGTTACAAATGAACATGGACAATGGCATGTCTTTAGCCTGCTGGCATATTTACTGAACTGACAACACACAGATACATTTATACAGCCCCAGGTACGGGGCGTCCAGAGGGTCATACTACAAATAACAGGACAAATTAATACAACGAGACATAACTACTTGTATAGGTAATTTATTTAAGTTTAAACATATTTCACAGCATATTACCTACACAAAATTAAGTAAATTAACTAACAGCCAACACCGCAGATATCTCTCTCTCTCTGAGTGGAAGGAGCTTGTGGAGCGTGATTGTGAGCATGGTCGGCCACAGCAACGTGAAGTCCGCAGCGCGGATGCACAGGGCTGTGGTCATATTTGTTGGTAGCGTGGAAGACGCAGACCTCGTCATAGAGAATGGGATCGAGGTGAACGACCACTTCTTTCCCGTTCTGCCGCTCACAAAATCAACTGTTAAAATCACGGTGTCAAACGTTCCTCCGTTTGTCAGAGACGAGGTGTAAACCAGGAAACTATCTCGGTACGGTAAGGTAGTCTCTCGGGTTACTAAGGTGTCCTCCGGATGTAAGTCTCCCCTGTTGAGACACGTGGTGTCGAGACGGGTGATGGGTTTGATTATTATTTATGCGTCGACTGATGACTTCAGGTGTTTTAACTGTGGGAAAAACGGACATCAGAGTAAAGTATGTCCGAAGAATACAGGGTCACATAAAGACCAGAACCAGCTCAGAACTGAGAGGGGCAGGGGAGACACAGAGGACAGACAAGAGGCACAGGGGGGACAGATGAAGACCAAAAGGCAAGAGAGGAGGTGTCAAGTGTGGTCGAGGAGGTGCGAGAGGAGTAGAGGGTGGATACCCGACCCGAGCCCGGGTACCGACGGGCTCGGGTCGGGCTCGGACACATCAGCGCGATAAGGCATTGAACATTCCATATTTAAAATATCTTAATAAGTAGTGAAGTCAACATCTGCTTCCCATGATGTAGAACCTCGGTTCCCAAACAGTGCTTGTTTGTTTGACGCAAAGGAAAAGAGGCTCTACTCCGAGCTCCTCGCGAATGGCTGAGCTTCTCACCCTATCCCTAAGGGAGACGCCAGCCACTCTCCTGAGGAAACCCATTTCGGCCGCTTGTGAACTACTTAAATTCATGTTTTTTTGTTTTTTTTACGTACAGCTTGTTTTCTGTGTGGGTTAGCTTCACTTCCAGGGACCTGTTCCTCGTACGTGGTTTAACTATTAACTATTGGCAGGAGCCCTGCCAAGCGGAAGCGGCGCTCTCCCGTTCCTGCTGGGCCACCGCAGCGATCTCCCGTTCCCGCTGGGCCGCCGCAGCGCTCTCCCGTTCCCGCTGCCAGACTAGCTCCTCCGACCCCGCCAGTACCGGCCCCGAGACTCATGACCCCGATGCCTCCAGTCCCCGCTCCCCGACTCCCCGGCCGCTTGCCTGTCCACCGGGCCGACCCCCAGAAGCTCCCCGGCCGTGTGGCCGCCCGCCAGAGTTTCCTGTGCGGTCCGACCAACGTCTCTGGTTTCCCTCCCTCCCACCCCTTGTCCGCTCTCTGCTAGATTAGAGCCGTCTGGAATTCGGCCCTTGAGGGGGGGTACTGTCACGGTGTGGTTTTATTTCCTGTCTTATTTTGTAGTTTTCTTGTCTCCCTGTAATTGTCTGATTGTTTCCACCTGTGTCCAATCACCTGCACTTCCCTGGTGTATTTAAGCCGTGTGTCACTTGTCGCGCCAGTGTCTATCGTCCTGGATGCCCCCAGTTAAAGATTAAACGATTAAAGTCCTTTTGCTTTCGACGTCTGCGTTTGAGTCCTGCCTTTCCACGCATCCCCTGACAGTAACAGAGATCGTATTTTGTTCATATGTGGAAACTGCGCTAAAATCCGCCTGATACAGAGTACTTAAATGAATGAGGAAATGAAAGCGCTGCTGTAAGAGGGAGGAGACTGTGAAAGAAACTCAAGGTGTATTGAAAAAAACCTGGTAGGTTATGTTCACAGGCTCAGTTACCATGGTGACTGGCCCTGAGCTTTAGTTACCTCCCTTTGTGAAACCGACAAGCCAGAGTTTCCCTCATCTCAGGGTTAACCAACTCTTGAGTTTCCGCATCGTGATAAACTAAATATTTTTCTCCCTGAAGTTTGCATTTGAGTCCTGCTTCTGCCACTCCGCTGTGACAATGTGTTTCCTCTTTGTTTTATGTAATTTTTAGTTTTTGTCTTTTAATTCAATGCACCCATTTATTTTGTCTTTGTTTTGCTGTTTCTACCATTGCATGTCTGTTTTCGTGGGTTTGAAGTAAACTTTCATAATTTGAATTTAATAGTTATTTCATTTGAATTATTTATTTATTTTATAGCCCAAAATAGCAATTTGCCTCAGAGGATCTTCAGTCTGTACACATGCAACATAGTCTTTCCCGAAACCTTCACATCGGCACAGGAAACCCTTCAATGGGGAAAAAGGGAAGAAACCTAGGAAGAACAGCAGAAGAGGGATCCCTTTCCCGGGATGGACAGACTATGGATGTCTACAGAATGAACAACGTAAAAGATGTACACTGCATTTGAGTCCTATGACAGAAATGATTCAAATATTGCAAGTAGTCAGCCAAGTGTACGGCAGGACCACTGCAAGGACAACCACCATCAGACAAAACCACCATTTACTGAAACCAGCAGGGATGGAAAGCACAAAGACCTCAAAGAAGCAAAGTGGATAATATATATAACAGCTTATCTAAGGGCTGGTCCACACTAACGTGATCTTTTGTTCCACAAAAGAGAAGCTTGATAACTGAAGGCGCTGGCTCCCATCCTACTTTTTAAGACTCTAGGAATAACAAGTAGCCCACCATTTAGGCAGCGCAGCTCTCTAGTAGGCCTAAAGGAAACGTCTACAGGGTAAATAAAATCAGTCAAAGCAGAGAACCTTGTGGGACTCTGTGGCAAACATTGTTGATCAACTAGGATTCACCGTTTACAAACACAAACTGGGATTGATTCGATAAATATGACTTAATACCAATCAAATGTTCTAGTCTCTGCAATAGGATTCAATGATGTCAAATGTGGCACTGAGGTCCAGCAAGACAAGAACACAGATGAGTCCATGGTCCAATGCAAGTGATAATTCGTCATTTTCACCAATGCTGTTTTTGTACTGTGATGCACACAAAATCTTCATGACATTCTGATCTATGGGGCCACAGAGAAGGAACATGACGGTCGCCTGGAGAAGGTATGCTTCTTAAAACTTAATTGTGAGAAGAGCTCCATCAGGCAGAGTCAACTGTGGTTCCTCTGGCATGTCATTGACTAGTCCGGGATCTGCCTGACCCTGACAAAGTGGAAGCGATTCGGCAGCTGTCAAGGAGTGCTAAGAAGGATACTGGAAATGGTAAATTGTCTCGGAAGATACATCCCCGAACTCTCAACGGTGGGACAGCCGCTGTACAAGCTCCTGAAGGACAAGAATAAATGGACGTGGAGCCACGCACAGCAAACAGATTTGAACATATCAAAAAGCTATTGACAACTCCACTAGTACTTGCCTTCTATGACTTGAGCAAGCCCACGACGGTATCAGCGGATGCAAGTGTTGGGCCCTCCATTTTGCTAGTAAATCTCCCCACGTTTTTCTTCACTGAAGACAAAGGAAAAACACAGTAACATGGGAGACCCTCATGTCTGATCCAGGGGCCAATAACAACAACCCCCACTGGAGTCCAGACCACACCTGGCCATAAAATTTGTATTTCCGCTAAGGAGTTCAACCTTCACAAGTCAGCTGGAAGCTGCTGAAACACGGTGAAACCAACCGTTCACCGCGCCGATCAAGCCCATCAAAACAGTAAGAGACTAGTTTTCTGGGCAGATGAATTTAACGTGTTTTATAAATTTTGATGTTTAGTGTTTAGATGTTTAGTGTTACATCTAGGGATTGTTGGTTAGTTATAGGTGATCTTGATCACAGTTATAGATTCTCTTGATCTGTGTTTCTGTGAGTGTTTGACCTTAAAGAACCATTCAACCATTGCCAGTGCTCAGACTTAAATAAAGGAGTGAACATCAATTATGAGTCTTGATTTATAATATTGTTTATTAGTCCCTGTTAGCTCAGGGTGGTGCCCGTTATTTATTTATTTTGAGAATTATCTTAGTGATTATTAAGAATTCTATTGCTATCAATAATTTAGTTCCACACTTGCTATTAACCTGGTACAACCCCCTGCCGTTCCCAACAAAAATAGTTACGGATTGACGGTGTACTTCTTCAGCTCCACAATAACTATTGTGTTATTATATTTATACCTAATAACACACAAACTATAATCCTACCACTAGTCATGATCACACATATTATACTTTTTATCGCTAGGTGTGCTCTTCTGCTTAAATTCCGAACACAAGAGAAGTCTTTGTCCAACTGAAATTAGTCTATTTCTAAAATACATGTATCAAAACCGTCACTAAACACAAATTCTCTGGTGCGTAACCATGTGTTAATACTTTCACAACTGCAGAAAGTTACATAAATAATAATGTCATACATTTGGATCCATATGCGTGGTAGAAACATTTGGATCGATACTGTATGTGTGGTGTATAAGTAAGTAAGTGAGGTAAGGACAAACTGATTCCATACTCCCCACTTAACCCTTACATAGTGTTTGGGTCAATTTTGACATTTGACATGAAGTATCGAGGAATTGAATGGAATGTACACAATTGATTTATCTACAGCCTGTTGGAAAAAATGTTGATCCTTTTCTGGAGGTAGTAACGCTTATCAACGGTACACAAAATGGTACACAGCAGTGTACCATTTTGTGTACCAACGAGTGAGTTGACTGGTTCCTGCTAGTGATAGTATTAAAGATACTATTTACAATACACGCATACACGGAATGGAATCTTGGATTGTCTTGTTTTGTTTAAGTGTACCAACGAGTGAGTTGACTGGTTCCTGCTAGTGATAGTATTAAAGATACTATTTACAATACACGCATACACGGAATGGAATCTTGGATTGTCTTGTTTTGTTTAAGTATTCAACTCAACATCAACTAGCTGTGAATATTAAGAAATCACAACGTCAACAACGCAGCTTTAAAAGGTGTGATTTTAAGGAACATGTTAAAAAACATGATATATCCTATTGTCTTGTGACAGTAGTTGGCTTTTTCTGCATGTGCGTATGTTTCTTTAATGACTCCTCCTTCCTCTTTCTGCTGCTGTGGCTGATCTTCTGCTGCCTGTAGGTTTTTCTAGCCTGGAGTCTCTCCTTCTCCAGGACTTCAGTGTCATCCAGAATCTCCAGGCCAGGAATCTGACTGATGACATACTGTCTAAGGAGGCAAACAGAGTGGAATTTTACATGAATGTCAACATTTGCAGAACTCAATGGGGTCGGATTATTTTACACATATTTGACAAATAAAAAACAAACAGGGCTTATGTTCCAGAGTGCATATTGAATAGCATTGTCAGTGTGTGGTTATGACTTGAAAGGTACATTCATGGGCTGATTACAATACAATGGACCCTGGGCACAATGCAAAACGCCCCACCCCCTCTTCGAAATAGAAGAAAAAGGAAAACAGTCTTCATAGATTAGCCTCTTTTTGTTGTTGATTTAATTCTCTGTATTCATATGATGACAGTGTCACCTGCCCATCAGCAACTATTTTTTACATTATTCACACATCGTCATCACACCTACGGGAGCAATGTTGGGTTAAGTGTCTTGCTTAAGGAGACATCTCTATGTGTATTACCTGAGCAGGGGATCAAACCGCCAATCCTTAAATGAGCCTGAGAATGAGGCTGGATGAAGGGCCAGAAAACGCTAGTGCTCGTCACATTTTGGGTGTTTTTGTGTTTGGTGTAGGTCTCACTATGGTTGTTTTAATACTCTGTAGTCATTTTGTCTCTCTTTGAGGTCAATTTGAATATTGCATAGGCATTGAGTATCTTTGTATTTGTATTGAACCTTTTGTAGTATTTTTCAGTATCTAATTTCAGCACTCTTGAAAGCCTGGTGGGCAATTTTGTCCCCTGAACATCAACAGGTACATTGTCAACTGCAGAGATAGAGATCTATGTCTATTATTTAGTCTGTTAGTTTTGCACAAAATTGGTTGTTCTGTAGGTCTTCTAGGTTGATCTTGTATGTTTGTTGTATTGTATGATTTATGTTTTTAAAAACAAACATGATACAAATCATTTTTTAGCTTCCTAAACTACAAATAAAATAGCAGGTTTATTGTCGCTAAACAGACCTTAATTTAGGGTTGATAATCACAAGACCAATTTTGACTAGATACATGACATTCTAGTACCATGTTATTGCACTGATGATACAAATGGCAACCCCATCGTGTAAATAAAACCCCACTAAAAACCCCATGGTCATGCTAGTACTTTTTTCTAAATCAAATAAAAACCTGTATGATTATTTTTGATGAGAGAATATTTAGTCCATAGATGGTGTTTAGTTTGGATGCAGGTTGTGGAAAGGATGTTGTTGGTCACCTGTAGTCTTCGTACTGAGTAAGACTTCCTCCATTGAAATAACTAGGAGCTGCCTCGTTGTTCATCATACTGAGAATCCTATATTAGAAAGGAATAAAGCAGCAAAAAGAATGCATATGTTTATAAGCATTAACAAATTAATAACACAATTCCAGACTCACTTTATGTTTGGAAACTTCCGTCGGATTTCTTCCACAAAAACAGGCAGATTGTTGATCTTGTTCTTGTTGATGCAAACTGTGGTGACACTGGACATGTAGGGGAACTTGATGTGAGATGTGTAGTTGTTGCAGTCCAGGATCAAAGTGCTGAGCTTCTCCAGCTGGCCCAGCAGAGCCGGGTTCCAATAAGGACTGAATGAAGGATAATATTTCAAACTCAAACTGCTCAGGTTTGTCAGTCTCTAAATATATTTACCTAGAATTATATGTTGTTTCCTTTAATTTGTTATTGCAGAAGTTTAGGCGGGTGACAACTATGACTTCAAGAAGAAGTTTACGTGCATATCAGGAACACCTAAATTGTTTTGGGGTTATATACACTTTTTGATGTCTGTCATTTCCATTCATACCACAAGAGCAGTAGATTTGACTAAATAAATATCAATAGTTCCACTTCTTGGGCCCGGTCAAACACTGTACCTGTCGGTTTATTCCTATACGGTAAGATTTCTTTAGCCATGTCACTCTAATTATCCCAAAGGATTAATCCTACCAAATCGTTGATCTCCTGACTTACATTTAACTGTTGGGAAATTTGCCTGTTATTGTCACGGTGTGGTTCACTTCCTGTTGTATTTTGTAGTTTTCTGCCACTCGTGTCCCCAGATAACTTCACTTCCTGCCTTGTCCCGTCATCCCCTGTGATCGTCTAATAGTTTCCACCTGTGTCCAATCACCTGCACCTCCCTTGTGTATTTAAGCCGTGTGTCTCTTGTGTCACTTGTCGCGTCATTGTCTTTCGCCACGCATGTTCTTCTCTCGTCGTTCGCAGTTCCTGTCTCCCGTTTTGCCCCTTGCCCTTTTGTTGTTGCTTTTTACTATTAAAGTCCCTTTTCTTTTTGAAAAGGGACTTTAATAGTTGCCAGACGGGTTCCCCTGAACCCGTCTGGCAATGGGCGGTCCACGGAGTCTCCAGCGGGCTGCTCGTAATGGGGGAAAGGTCCTCCCGGGGGTTCCAGCTGGGTACCTGTACTACTCTGTCTCCTCTTCTGGAGCCCTCAGTAGGCATCTGGGCCACCATCCTCCGCCCACCACATGGTCCCCAGAGGAGGAGGCCATTTCGTTGTCGTCCGGCGGAGAGACCTACTGGGAGCGGGTAATGGACCTTGCGGTCCGACTCCAGGCCACCTATGCTCCCCACGCTCGGCCGCAGCGACGTCCCGACCCCGCTCGGTCGCAGCGCACAATGTCCAGCGCTGGGCCGCAGCGACGTCCCGACCCCGCTCGGTCGCAGCGCAAAATGTCCCGCGCTGGGCCGCAGCAGATTCCCGTCCCGGCCTCCCGACCCAAGCCCATGACCCCTGATCCGACGCCCCGATCCAGGTCCACGACCCCCGAGCCAGCGCCACGATCCATGCCCCCGACCCCCGAGCCAGCGCCACGATCCATGCCCCCGGTACCAGTGCCACGATCCATTCCCCCGGTACCGGCCCCACGATCCATGCCCCCGACCCGACCAGTACCGGCCCCACGTTCCATGCCCCCGACCCGACCAGTACCGGCCCCACGTTCCATGCCCCCGACCCGACCAGTACCGGCCCCACGTTCCATTCCCCCGACTCGGCCAGTCCCCGCTCCGAGACTCTCAGCCATGACCCCGACTCGGCCAGTCCCCGCTCCGAGACTCATGACCCCGACGCCCCCAGTCCCCGCTCCGAGACTCATGACCCCGACGCGACGAGGGGGGGGATTATGGGGGGGGCTGAACCGCCGACTGCGGAAGTGTTCGTTGTTCCCCGAGCTGCAGCCGACAACCACGGAGGTGTTCCGTGTCCCCGAGCTGCCGCCGACAACCACGGAGGTGTTCCCTGTCCCCGAGCCGACGGCGACAACCGCGGAGGTGTTCCGTGTCCCCGAGCCGACGGCGACAACCACGGAGGTGTTCCCTGTCCCCGAGCTTCCGCCGACAACCACGGAGGTGTTCCCTGTCCCCGAGCCGACGCCGACAACCCCGGAGGTGTTCCGTGTCCCCGAGCCGACGGCGACGACCGCGGAGGTGTTCTGTGTCCCCGAGCCGACGGCGACGACCCCGGAGGTTTCCCGTGTCCCCGAGCTACCGCCGACGACCCCGGAGGTTTCCCGTGTCTCAGAGCCATTCATTCCAGAGACGTTCCGTGCCCTGCAGTCGCCGCTCCGGAGCCGGCTTGGTGACCGCCCGCCGGGCCGACCCCCAGAGTTTCCCGACCAACGTCTCTGGTTTCCCTCCCCCCCCACCCCTTGTTCGCTCTAGTGTTGGCCGTCTGGAATTCGGCCCTTAAGGGGGGGGTACTGTCACGGTGTGGTTCACTTCCTGTTGTATTTGTATTTTGTCCACCTGTGTCCAATCACCTGCACCTCCCTTGTGTATTTAAGCCGTGTGTCTCTTGTGTCACTTGTCGCGTCATTGTCTTTCGCCACGCATGTTCTTGTCTCCTGTTGTGGATGTCCGTAGGTTCATGCCTGTGTGTTTTTGCCCCTTGGCCTTTTGGATTTCGGATCTAGTAACTATTAAAGTCTTGTTTCGGAGAAGTCTGCATCTGAGTCCTGCCTTCTACCCGCACCCCTGACAGTTATAGTAAGTCTGTATGTGTGACAGCAGTAAAGTATTGAAGTGTAGATTGCAAACTGGTAACCAAAAATTGCTTTCAACTATCTAACCGAGTCTCAAGGAAGAGCATTGGTCTTTGTAGCATGTTACACAAAGTGGTGGAAAGGTCCAAAAAAGTTCTAAAGATAGTAAAATACTCTAATGACCAGAAAGAAGCGTTATTCTCCTTCCTCTGGTCATGTGAATGTACTTTACTTGTATGGAACTTTTTTTTGTCTTTCGACCAGTCAAAGCGCTTTTAACACTAAATGTCATCATCCAACCATTCATACAATGCTTCGTCGAAACGCCTTCGACTTACTACCGAGCACCAGAACACAGCTCTCGCTTTGGGCGTACAAGGATTGGATGGCCCCAAGCAAGGACCCCCTCACCCCGTACTCCCGCAGCACCTCCCACAGTTTCTCTCGGGGGACCCGGTCATACGCCTTCTCCAAGTCCACAAAACACATGTAGACTGGATGAGCATACTCCCAAGCCCCCTCTATGATCCTGGAAAGAGTGAAGAGCTGGTCCGTTGTTCCACGACCAGGACCACTCCTTTCCAGCACCTTAGAGTAGACTTTACCCGGGAGGCTGAGTAGTGTGATACCCCTGTAATTGGCACACACTCTCTGGTCCCCCTTTTTGAAGAGGGGTACCACCACCCCGGTCTGCCACCCATTTTGGCACTGTCCCAGACTTCCACGCAATGTTGAGGCGTGTCATCCAAGACAACCCCCAAACACCCATTGCTTTTAGCATCTCTGGACGGATCTCATCAATCCCCGGGGCTTTGCCACTGCAGAGTTGTTTGACTACCTCAGTGACCTCCACCAGGCCAATTGACGATGATCCCTCCTCCGCCTCCAGCTCCACCTCTACAAAAGAGGGCGTAGTAGTTGGATTCAGGAGTTCCTAAAAGTGTTCCTTCCACCGCCCGATAACCTCCTCAGTCGCGGTCAACAGGGTCCCATCCTTACTGTACACAGCTTGGATGGTTCCCCGTTTCCCCCTCCTGAGGTGCCGGATGGTCTTCCAGAAGCACTTTGGTGCCGACCGAAAGTCCTTCTCCACAGTTACCCCGAACTCCTCCCATACTTGCTGCTTTGCCTCCATCACGGCAGAGGCTGCTGCCCTTCGAGCCTGTCGGTACACTGCAACTGCCTCCGGAGTCCCACCGGATATCATAACCCGGAAGGCCTCCTTCTTCAGTCGGACGGCTTCCCTGACCACCGGTGTCCACCACGAGGTTCGAGGGTTACCGCCCCTTGATGCACCCAAGACCTTGAGGCCACAACTCACTGCCGCGGCTTCAGCAATGGAGGTTTTGAACATACACTACTCTGGTTCAATGTCCCCTACCTCCACAGGAATGTGAGAGAAGCTCCGGCGGAGGTGTGAGTTGAAAATCTTTTGGACCGGGGCCTCCTCCAGACGTTCCCAGTTCACCCTCACTACACGCTTGGGTTTACCGGGTCTGTCCCGAGTCTTCCCCCTACCTCTGACCCAGCTCACAACCAGATGGTGATCAGTTGACAGCTCTGCCCCTCTCTTTACCCGAGTGTCCAGAACATGCGGCCTCAGATCAGACGATACGATTACAAAATCGATCATTGATCTTTGGCCTAGGATGCTCTGGTACCACGTACACTTATGAACATCCTTATGTTCGAACATGGTGTTTGTTATGGACAATCCGTGACTGGCACAGAAGTCCAGTAACAACCACCCGCTCGGGTTCAGATCAGGGAGGCCATTCCTCCCAATCACGCCTCTCCAGTTATCTCCATCGTCGCCCACGTGCGCATTGAAGTCTCCCAGTAGGACTATGAAGTCCCCTACTGGAGCCCCATGCAGGACTCCATTCAGGGTCTCCAAAAAGGCCTAATACTCTGAGCTGCTGTTTGGTGCATATGCACAGACAACAGTCAGTTTTCCCTGCCGTAAATTGTCAGAAATTGATGTGGGCCTCCCTTGGCAGTTGTCCCCCCCATGACCCCCCTCCTCCTAATTCTAGGGGAGGCTTTGACATGTAAATGAAAATGCTGTGAGCTATACAAATGCAAATCAGGGTCGCAGAGGGAGTTTTAGCCCAGGTGACATTTTTTTAAAAGGTAAGAAAATCTCTGGTACAAATAGATCAGGCTCAGTATTCTAAATATAGACTCTTACATTTAAGCTTGAATTGATTTATTTAATTCAAATATGCTAGATTACTGTGTACGCCATTAGCAATGGCAAATGTTATGTAAAAAAGATACAAAAAATAACTTCTTTAAAAAATGAGTTTTAATCAAGGTAAAATGAGCATTCCATGCAAACAACATTTGAATCAGCATGAGGGGTCTGCAGAGATCACAGTCTACTAGAGCTCAACTACAGTGCATAGTGGCAGGACTACAGTGACCTTTTCTTTGGTCTTACTTAAATGCACAGAGGATGTATTAACCACACATCTTCTAGCAATGCGCTCAACTGGCAGAAATGATGCTGGGTATGACGTGTCTGTTCCCTGCAAGCCCCAAACTTCTATTGGCTTTCCATAAAAATGTCTGTCCGGGTGGAGATGAAGCCAGGAAACTTGTGCAAGAACATGTTTAAATGCCGTACCCTTTGACACAACATTAACAACTATAAACTGCTTTATAATGGCTGGTCGTAGTTCTGCTAGAGGGTCAAGGACGGGTTCCTCAAAACTGTTAGTGTTTCCACACCACTTAGCGTGAACATATGCTGACCTTTATGCTCTGCATCTATCGATTGAGTAAGTTACATTCATATATGTTACCCGTTTACATGTCATGGCAAAACATTCAACCTCAGTGACACAAGGGTACATCTGATGATACATTGTCAACATTGCATGTCTGTCAGACTCAAGAGTGTCTGGTGGAATGGACAAAGAGGCACCACTGTACAGTTTTCTAGGGAAAGTCGTTCTGCTGACACCAAAACACTGCTTTACATAAAGCATATCAGCTGTTTCAAAGTCCCAACCATTTGTCTTCCTAAAATACTGGTCCTTCCGTATAACAATAACCTCGTATGTGATTGGAGGACCCTTAGACTCCTCGTCCAATCACGTGTGAGGTCATAGGCATGACTGATAAAGCAGTACTTGCAAGACGAGCATACAAACAGACACGTGTATCTCCAGTTCCTTTGTTTGGTCTTTGCTGGTTCGTGAATAATGGCTGGACGACGTCTCGCGTTCAACTCGCCTTCAACTCCTCTCCGCGGTCACCAACTTTCGGCCAGTCCGCAGACAGACGAGAAGAAGCTGCTGAATGCTCTCAGTGGATCGTCTCGTCAACTCCAACAACAAACTGCCGATATCAACGAGTGGTTCGCTCCACTGGAGCGTTCGGGACTCTACGGGTTTCTGTCCATGGAGGAGAGGAACTGACTCAAAGAAGAGGAGACGGGCGCACAATCCCACGATAGCGGTAAGAATACGTTCGATGACTGCAGGCTAAGCTAAAAGTAGCGTAGCCTCAAGCTAAGCTAAGAGTAGCCTAGTAGCCTTACAAGTGAGCAGAAACAGCTTTATTAAAGTGTATTTTCTTTGCCGTGTCGTTTACAGGAAGTTTACTGTTTCTCCTTCCTTGTTAAATGTTACTGTGACTTGCGTTTGATTTTTTTTGTATTCATATTACACTCATTTAATTGTTTTCCAGCCGCCTGTGAGACGTATTTTGAGACGGTACCCAGGAGCTTCAGGTTCAGCCGGACACTCATTGCGAGCGGAAGCTGCGAAGGATTCAGCGCGGAGTCGAGCGAGAAGAAAGACGGTCAGAGTTTATTTGCTGACTTGTTTCAGGTGCATTGATCGATGTGTTGTGTCCGTACGCATCGCACAGTACTGATTCATTGTTGTTTTTACAGCTGCTGGAATCGAGACAAAGTGTGCTGGCTGATGACGAGGTGGAACTCTGGCAATCCGCCACCGTAGAGCTCACGTCGGACGGAGAGGATGGCGTTGTTGGCGGGGTCTCGGGGTGGATTGTACGGTCCCAGTTAGAGACGACTCAGAAATACAGATCCCCGCACGCTAGGCGCCTGCACAACAGACCTGCCTCGGAAAACACGGCGCCAGTGACGGTCTACAACCCCGAGGAGGCAAACGGACAGTTTATTGAGCTGTAGTTTTTAAACCGCCGTTACCCAAGTGTGGGCAGATCCTCACTTTGTATATAGTTGTTGATTGTGTGTTGTTAATAAAGCTCTTTCTTTGCATAAACATGTGGCAAATGTTCATTTTCTCTATAAATTCATTGATGTCCTGGTTGGTATCCTAATAATAGTGTAGTAGCCTACATAGGATAACCATGAAATAAATATACAGCATAATATGAATATATATAAATAAAATGAGGCGGGTGACCAATAGCGACAGATCTGCCAACCAATCACGAGTGATTGAAAGTTGTGGTTTCATCCAAATATGAACAAGGAAACTCAAGCCTGGTCTGCCCAGGTGTGGTTTTTCTGCCAATCACGAGTGATTTTATTTGTTAGTAAGTTGTGGTTTCATCCAATAAGGAGTAAGGATATTCAAGCCCGCTCGGCTCGGCCACCCGCGGCTTCGCTGCTTTCATATGCTAATTCAGGCCATTCGCAACTCCGCCAGCTCTCCCCCTACGTCACGGTTCGTTTCCGACAATTTGTGGCACAGACAAACGCGACGTGCGCGGGTTGCAAATTGTTGGAAATTGTCGGAAAAAATCCGGGCGTTTACGGGGACGAAAATCTCACTTTTCATGCAGTGCTGGCGCCTCACACCATGGGCCACTCTGGAGTAGAGTCCATCCCCTATCCAGGAGTGTGGTTCCAGAGCCGAGGCTGGGCGTAGAGGTAAGCCCCACCAGATCCAACTGATAACGCTCCACCTCCCGCACAAGCTCCGGCTTCTTCCCCACCAGAGAGGTTACGTTCCATGTCCCCAGAACCAGTATCTGCTGCCCAGGTCTGTTCCGTCTAGACCTCCCACTGTCACTGCCACCCTTGTAGCCGCGCACCCGACCCCATCGGTTTTCTCCACAGGTGGTGAGCCCATGGGGAGTAGAGTCTTGGGCTGCCACGTCACTCCTTCGGGCTGTGCCCGGCCGGGCTCCGCGGTAAACCCGGCCACCAGACGCTCGCTGTCGGGCCCTCCATCTGGGCCTGGCTCCAAATGGGGGCCCCGGGCTTCCTCCAGGCCGGGTAACTCCTTCCCTCTTCCGTTTTTTCATAGGGTCTTTTTGAACCATTCTTAGTCTGGCCCCTCGCCTGAGACCACTTTGCCAAGGGTAACCCTACCAGGAGCACAAGGCTCCCGACAACACAGCCCTCAGGGTCATAGGGACACACAAACCTCTCCACCACGATAAGGTGATGGTTCCCCTGTGATGGTTCGTGTCGTGCGATTATTACGTCACTCAATGAGTTTTGGAGATGCACGTGGAGCAAAAAATTTAAAAGCTGAGTTGACGTAGAGGAGCGGCAGTTGTTGTGAGTCATGCAGCGCAGGCAGAGAAGTCTGTTCGACGTGTGGGAGCATTTCACACTAAATCATTTTTGTCAATGGAAAAATATGCAAAATCAACGTAATATGTGACGGGGAACGTAACAAGCCTCCAGCAGCTCTTCTGCTTTTGACTCTTTATCCAGCTGATTAAGCCAGCGTTAGCTCGCTAATAACAGCAGTAAAGCAGTTAGCAAGACTAAAGACACGTTTTTATTTACTCGCCTTTTTTTGGATCATTAATTTTTCAATCTATTCCCATATTGGTTATTGTTGACAATAATATTTGTATGTGTTGTACTTTTTAATGCCATGCTATTCTTTTAGCTGCATTTAGACGTGGTGTATACATTTACTTAACTTGTACTACAATGACGGTAATAATTTAATGAATAAGCTTGACTATGGGGGTTTGTAAGTGTGAGCGTTTGTGAGTGAATGCATCTGTGAGTGTTTTCTGATTTGTATTTTTCTTTATTTTTGATAAACTATTATGTTCAAGGAGCACGCTGTTTGTGCACTTTCTGAAGTCTTGTTTCAAAGTGAATTTGCAGTTCTCTTTGGAATAAAGCTTTTAAATTAAAGCGTTTTTAAAATCCTGTTTTTTTATCCGATTCATCGATTAATCGAAAGAATGGTCAAATTATCAAAATAATTGGTAGTTGCAGCCCTAATAATTTCCATCAAAATGTGTGGTTTGTGATTCCAGGCTATAGAAAAAAAAACAATGGAATTAAATTAAGCCACAATATATTTTTTGTCAAATTTTGCCGTTTCCATTTAACTTTTCTTATGCGATACTTCAAAAAATGTACGTTGATGGAAACCCAGCCCGTTCAATGTATTCACAACTATTGAATGGATTACCATCAATATTTGGTCCACACATACATAAATTCAAAAATACTCATTGATGATTCACTGACATTTAAATTTAAACAATACTTATTTGTCCAACACATGTATGAGGACATAAATACCTGCAAAACTAATGACATTCCCTTTTGTTTCAGATTAAAAAAAGTCCTCAAATAAGAGTTTGGAACAATGGTACAGGAAGCAGGCCTGACTTCAAGCTACTGGTTATCAAGAAAAGGATACTCATCCAGCAGGTTGTAACTCAGATCCAGCACCTCCAGTGCTGTCTGTGGCAGAATGGTTTCATAGGGGATTTCTGTCAGGCCCTGGTAAGCAAAAGAAAGACACTGAAAGCTTGAGGTGGGGCTGGGCTGGCTTGATGTTGGATGATCCATTATTAAAAAAAAAATTCCGCCCTCCTTCACCTGCCCTTCACCTGTAATTATGGAGATTAGGAGAGAAATCAGATTATTGTGTCACAATCAAACCTTTAATAAACAGCTAATCAATAAATGGTGAATAGACTGAATGAGTAAGAAGATAATCTGCCAGAAAGTAATGTTAGGGTTTCATCTGAATAGAAATGAGAAATTACACATTTTTATGTAAAGCTATACCTGTCACGGTTTGGGTTTGCCTTGTCCTGTCATCCCCTGTGATTGTCTGACTTTTCCCTGATTGTTTTCCCCTGTGTCCAATCACCTGCACCGTCCCAGTGTATTTAAGCCCTGTATGTCTTTTGCTCCTTGTTGCATCACTGAACGTCGTTCGTGAAGGTTCTACCCGGAGTCATCCTGTTTGTAAGTTCTGGATCCCTGTTGGCGTTTGATTAAAGTATCTTTGTTGGAAATCTGTGTTTGGGTCCTGCCTCTGCCTACCCCATTGTGACAATACCAGTGTACATTTATTTTTTTACACCCCTGGCCAAATTCTGTCAAATATTTATATATAAAGACAAATTGTGTCCAAATTACAATCTGGAGAAGTAACCGTGAGCTGTGACAAATTGATTTTTGTTTTTGAATGTCTTTGCGGAACTGGTTGCATCAGCAATATTTCTGAAACTCATCACATTCACAAGGTATAAGATAACTGAAACATAGGTATTTTTGGTATATACATTCAATATAAGAAAATAGATTCACAAAATAATTGTGAAATAAGGAAATAGTCCCCAGGGTAACAAAGCTAGCCTGGCTGTCCCAACCTTTACCTAGCTAGTTTCAGATGGGCAGGGCGATAAAATAGGTGAACAGAAGATTGTTCAGACTCTGGGTGCCTTGCTCATAAAAGTAAAAGTGGAAAAGATAAAGAAATGTCAAAATACAGTGTAAACATAGATGATACTTTATATCACTTATCTCTCTTAAAAAAAAACAAATTTGCTCTTTTCTAAATAATCAATTACCCTTTATGGGTTAAAATTAACATCCTAGTTACTAAGGCCAAAACACGTTGACCTGCAACATTTCGGATTTTATAATGTAATAAATAAATCTCTCAGCAAAGAAGATATAGTCGCCGATGGACATATGGTTAAGATTCTTCAAAGCAGAGCTGTTCTTTGCATTCAATTGTTTTTTATAGCCCATGTCTGCACAATATACTGTGAGGTAAGTGAGCAAGTTACCTTAACATGTTATCTGCAGTAAAGTACCGTATTCCATTAGAAACTGCTGCCAAATTCTCAAAACGTTTTACTGTTTTCTGATTTGCAGTATCAACCAGTATTGTCCGACACTTATTTTAAACTGTACCCATATTTCAAGTTATCCTGCTACTCTGTGAAATCCTTAATCCCTAATAAGAATCTAGATGCAGCATAGACTTACCGAGCTGAAGAGCATGCAGCCGATCTTTTCAGTGCATGCAGACTCTGTGAAATGCATTCAGCTCACATAAAAGGCCCGCTTTCATACCCTCGGCTGTAGATCACATGATGGGGATAATCACATTGCTGTTAACCTTGTAGTTCGCAGGACCCATTGGAACAGATCTTCATAAGATTGATAGTGTTACATTCCTCAAATAATGGAAAACACAGTTTATAAACTGAAGAAACGTGAACATGAAGTATTTTTACTGTAGAAAATGCCAAATGACTGGACAGAATACGAGACGTGGCTCACAATAGACTAATAATGAATAATGAAGAATAATGAACAATAATGAGTCAAAGCAAGTGGTGCAATGGCCTATGAGAGAAGATCTATTTGAACAATAGCCTTTGAACAAAGTAGCTTTAGCAATGACAAAGAACATTTAGCATGAAATGACACTGCTATATCATGCAATTAGACAAATTAATATCAATAATACAATACACAAAACATTTATATACAGTGCATCCGAAAAGTATTCACAGCGCTTCACTTTTCCCACATTTTGTTATGTTACAGCCTTATTCCAAAATGGCTTAAATTCATTATTTTCCTCAACATTCTACACACAGCAACCCATAATGACAAAGTGAAAACGTTTTTTTGCAAATATTTGCAAATCTGTTGAAAATAAAGAACGAAAACATAACATGTATATAAGTATTCACAGCCTTTGCCATGACACTCGAAATTTAGCTCAGGTGCATCCTGTTTCCACTGATCATCCTTCAGATGTTTCTACAACTTGATTGTAGTCCACCTGTGCTAAATGCAGTTGATTGGACATGATTGAGAAAGGCACACACCTGTCTATATAAGGTATCACAGTTGACAGTGCATATCAGAGCATAAATCAAGCCATGAAGTCCAAGGAATTAGCTGTAGACCTCCGAGACAGAATTGTATCGAGGCACAGATCTGGCGAAGGGTACAGAAAGATTTCTGCAGCATTGAAAGTCCCAATGAGCACAGTGGCCTCCATCATCCAGAAATGAAAGAAGTTTGGAACCACCAGGACTCTTATTAGAGTTGGCCGCCCAGCCAGACTGAGCGATCGGGGGAGAAGGGCCTTAGTCGGGCAGGTGACCAGGAACCTGATGGTCACTCTGACAGAGCTCCAGCGTTGTTCTATGAAGAGAGGAGAGCCTTCCAGAAGGACAACCATCTCTGCAGCACTCCACAAACCAGGCCTGTTTGGTAGGGTGGCCAGACGGAAGCCACTCCTCAGTAAAAAGCACATGACAGCCCGCCTGAAGGACTCTCAGACCATGAGAAACAAAATTCTCTGGTCTGATGAAACAAAGATTGAATTCTTTGGCCTGAATGCCAAGCGTCATGTCTGGAGGAAACCAGGCACTGCTCATCACCTGGTCAATACCATCCCTACAGTGAAGCATGGTGGTGGCAGCATCATGCTGTGGGGATTTTTTTCAGCGGGAGGAACTGGGAAACTAGTCAGGATTGAGGGAAAGATGAATGCAGCAATGCACAGAGATATCCTCAATGAAAACGAGGTCCAAAGCGCTCTGGACCTCAGACTGGGGTGACGGTTCATCTTCCAACAGGACAACGACCCGTAGCACACAGCCAAGATAACAAAGGAGTGGCTTCGGGACAACTCTGTGAATGCCCTTGAGTGGCCCAGCCAGAGCCCTGACTTGAACCCGAAGATCTCTAGAGAGATCTGAAAATGGCTGTGCACCGACGCTCCCCATCCAACCTGATGGAACTTGAGAGGTTCTGCAAAGAAGAATGGGAGAAACTGCCCAGAAATAGGTGTCCCACGCTTGTGGAATCATACCCAAGAAGACTTGAGGCTGTAATTGCTGCCAAAGGTGCTTCAACAAAGTATTGAGCAAAGGCTGTGAATACTTATGTACATGTGATGTTTTCGTTCTTTATTTTTAACAGATTTGCAAAAATTTGCAAAAACAGTTTTCACTTTGTCATTATGGGTTGTTGTGTGTAGAATGTTGAGGAAAATAATGAATTTAATCAATTTGGGAATAAGGCTGTAACATAACAAAATATGGAAAAAGTTAAGCGCTGTGAGAACTTTCCGGATGCACTGTATACTCAGAGTGCGACCCCCAGTGGACTTTTTAGGAATAGCAGCTACTTTTATAGAAATGCAATTTATGTCTTTCTGTAATTCTCACAATAGCAAAGTCAACTGGCGGGCCGCACTGGACCCCCCCCGGCGGGCCGGATTCGTTGGGTCACGTTGAAATGTCTAAACCTAGACGTCTTTTCAAAGTCTACAATAGACAAAAAAAAAGTTCACATGGAATTAAAAGTGCAGAAACAACATTGACAAGTTAGTTTAGAATTCTATGTTTGTAGTACACAGAATCTTTGGAACTTGATCTTCAGATTTTGTAACAAGATCTGGTCACTTGAATCAGGATAGTGAATCAGCTGCATCTCCCTTATCACTTGAGGATTCTTTCTGTAAAGGGAAGTCAGTGTGCGCAGAACCCTTCAATTGCAGACATGGCAGATTCCCCCGGTCAACGTGTTAATTCAAATATAAAATAATTTTATTTTGTACAGCCCAAAATCACAAATAAGCCTAAGAGAGCTTCACAGTATGCAAACATGCAACATCCAGTCCTGAAAACCTCACCCCTCGAAAGGAAAAAAACAAGATGTACAGTACATTCAATGTCTATGACTGACAGGATCCCTGTCTGACCCGTTGTGTCTTTTGCCTCTGCCCCCCACCCCCAATCTCCCTCCCTCATCTGTCATCTCCCTGTTTGTTTTGTTTGGCCATGTGCTTTTTGTGGGTGTGTGTTAGTAGGTAGGCTTACTCCTTTGGCCTACCTGCGCGGCGGAACAATGATATCAGAGAATGAACGGACGTCCAGGCGTTTATCTCTTCAGCCATTTAACTCGTGGCATTGTTTAATGCAGGCACAACATGCTAAACTTCCGGCTCACGGGAGAGACTGGTACACACAGAGAAAAGGGACGGGAACACTGCCCTTATATGGAAGTTGTGCTCTCGATATCACATGACTCAGGAATCAGGAATCAGTTACATGCATCCATACACTCTTAACAGTGTGTTCTTGGTCCCACCTCCAGACACCGCCCATGGCCGCATTCCACAGCGGTGCACAGCTGCGACCAATGATTACTCGTCACTGGCGGTATTTCAACCCTGGTCCTGCAGGCTTGAGTTGTCAGTACATTTTGTATTCTTGCCCGGTAGTCACCACTGCTGTTCTGTGAGTTCCTCTGCGAGTTCCTTTGCCTGACCTTGGGTGTTACTGACTTTCTTTCTCTCCGTCTGTAGAGTTACCGTACTCCACGGGACTCACGTTGGGATCTGCCTGCCGCCGCAGTCGAGCCACGGGACTCACGTCGAGAGCTGCCTACCTCAAACCACGGGACTAAACAAATCATATTAATAAATTACGAATACATTTGGTAACCCAATACTGGCTCTTGTGGTTGCATTTGGGTCCTAATACCATGGGGCGCCGTTTGTAAAATGTCGCACGTTCTAAATATCCTGCGCAGTTTTGCTACATTTAGCATTATCATATGAACAAAAAATCACGACAATATTCATGTGTCACTTTTTCAAACATTCAGAGAGAAATTAGACGTGGCGCAGGGGTATAGAGAGGGTGCGCTGGGAACCGCAACATTGGTTGTTCGAGTCTTGGCTTCCCCATGCCAAAGTGTCCCTGAGCAAGACATCTAACCCCTAATTGCTCCCTGGGAATGGGTTAAAAATGTCATGTAAATATTTGGATAAAAGCGTCAGCTAAATGACTTGTAATTGTTGTAATTGTAATTGTTCATTCAATAACTTTTCCAAGGATAATGTTTGGCAGTAAAACAAAGTTGTTAAATAATGTAAACGTTAAATCTAAATGTAAATGTTAAATGTTCACTCTACACATCAGACATGACTGAACTTTACAATATTTACGGTAATTCACGCCGCAGCAAGACAAGCTGGCAAGTCCGAATGAATTATCTCTTGAATGAATTATCTCATAGAGCAGGGGTGTCAAACTCATTTTAGGTTGGGGCCACATAGTGTCCACGTTGAAGTCATGCGGGGGAGGGGTGGTTCTCGGCCGTGGAACGTCGCGCAACCCCCCTTGACCGGTGCTTTGCTGATTTTTGCTGCTTTGTCGAGAATTGCTACCGCCGCATAAATCGATGGCTCTGTATCGATTTGATACTACCCAGTCAAAAAATTCTACTGTATTGTTGACACAAAAGAAATAGCAACTGCGTATCACTCATTAATCTACATGTTACTACTACATGTTATTACTACCTGAAAAAAGATTGGGCAGTATGTTTGCGCGCTGTGAGCCCTGTTAGGATTTCGGAAAGCTCTCGAGGGAGGCCTCACTCCTTTTGTTCTCGTCCCGGCCGGAAACGAGGACACAAATGAGTCAATTCGTTTAAATTAAAAAATCAAAAGGTATTTAATAACTAAACAACGTTATAAGGAATGCAATTACAAAGTGAAATACTAAGCGAACAGTGGAATATTTCACGAAATAGAGAATCCTCTGAGCAAGTCTAAAGTGACTTTTCAAGGCGGCTGCAGGTCAGATTCTCCCAGTCCTTTCCCCCGCCATGGTCCTTTGAAACCTCTTGAGGTGTGTCTTCCTTGGTGCATTTGAATGTCATTGGCTTCTTCTCCAAAGGGCCACCTCCTGGACTGTCCCCTTCACGTCGAGGTGTGAAGCTGCAGCTGTAACCTGAAACCTCTCTGTCCTATCTGTCCCTCACATTCCAATGCACTCAATGTAGATACATTTGGCTTTATGCCTCAATGAGCGAATTTAACAAAGCATACATTGTTTAAGTCTTCATCTTATAACTAGTACACTTTCATTACAACAACCCATCATTAATGATCATCGTTCATCACACTTCATCATAGATCTAAGACAGTTCTTGTGGTTCAATTCTCAAGACATTTTCCTCAGTCGGCTGCCTTACATTAAGTTGTTCATTTACTACCTGACAGGAGAAAAAACTCCCAAAAAACCCTCTTTGGGGATAAAATTGGGAGAAATCCATAAAGAACGGCAACTGGCATCCGTCCCCAGGTTTTAACATCACATTGTGACAGAATGTTAATGTGTACAGTGTTTATATGATTTAAACGACTAT